AAAAAAAAAAAAAAAAAAGAGTGCGCATGTGCAGAGCAGCAACCTCAGCAGGGCCGAAAACAGACGCTGCGTTCAGCAGCTGCAGCAACACGCCATCCACATGTTCTCACTCACAGGACGGAACAGAGCAAGAAACAAGCAGGCCACACCTTTCAGTGTCCACAGGGTGAATCCCAAACGCAGGATGTGATGAAAGAGGCAAGTCCCAGCACAGCACGTCCAGCACCTCAGAGACCACTGACGGGGTCCTGCCACCCACTCTGTGTGTCTCCCACCTCCAACAGGACAGCACGGGCTTCCTCGCCTCTCGGGGGCCTCTGCAAAGTCTGCACTCCCCAGGCCAGTGGGTGCCCCCCTACAGGGCTGTGTGTTCATGGAGGTGTGGCTTTCGGCCCTCAGGAGGTACTCAGCAAGCGTTTGTTGAATGACTTAATGAGTACCTGAAAAAGGGAGCAATGAGTGATAGGCCTTTCACAATTAAGGTGTTTCAGCCAAAAAAAAGCTGCTTTTGAGACAGAGTCTTGCTCTGTTGCCCAGGCTGGAGTGCAGTGACCTCCTGGCTCACTGCAACCTCTGCCTCCTGGGTTCAAGGGGTTCTCCTGCCTCAGCCTCCCGAGTAGCTGGGATTACAGGTGCTTGTCACCACTCCTGGCTAATTTTTGTATTTTTAGTAGAGATGGGGTTTCACCATGTTTGCCAGGCTGGTCTTGAACTCCCGACCTCACCTCGGCCTCCCAAAGGAACCCTCTGTGCTGCTTCCATCCAGGATTACAGGCATGAGCCACACAGCACAGGCTTCTGATGGGGAGACTGAGGCAAGCAAGGCAGCCAAGATCTCAGCAGGCCTCGGTGAAGGCCCTGGGAGGTCTGAGCCCTGTGTGGGAGGGAGGCTCTGAGGACCCTCCTGCGGGTTCTCCCCGAACTCTGCGTCCGCATTTTTCCAGCACAGCCTGGGCCAGGCCATGTGCAGGACATCTGGAGCCCCCGCCCCCGAGAGGGTCCCAGAGGCTGGGGGCTGCCCCACCCAGAGCCCCCTCCACCCCTTTTGCTCCTGCCAGCTTCTGTCTGACGGGACAGAAGGGGTGTTCCCCCGCCCACACTCTGAGAGAGTTCAACCTCTTCCTCTGTCCTGGCCCCTCTGGACTCCCTGCCTCGCTCACTCCACAGGCAAAGCTGGGCACTCAGCCACGAGCCTGTCTCCCCAGGGCAGAGTCCAGGCCACCCTCTCCCTCCCCACCATCTCAGGCCTGGCAGGGCTCCTGCTCCCTGGCCTGGGCTTTTTGTCCATGAAAGACAGTCCAGAACGCCAGGAAGCTCCGCTGGGCCTGGCAGGGTGTGGGGGCGCCAGGGGCACTGGCAGGCCAGTGGGGGGGCCACAGCCCCTGCCTCTGGGCTGCCTTTGTTCCTCCCTTTTCAGGCATGATGTGCACTGTGTGTGCCTCTGTCTTCTCTGAGCTTTCAGGGTAGAAGAAAGGCCTGGGGTCAGTGTGGGAAAACAGGGCCTGAGACCTGGAGCTCAGCACGAGCCACACCCAGAGACTGTCTGCTGGGCCCCCCCCAGGCTGGGAGGCAGTGAAGCTGCTTCCCAGGGCTCCCACCCCTCCCTTTGGGGTCCTGAGCTAGAAGAAAGACGCCTTTGCTGGGCCTGTGACGCCAGATCCTCACCCCTAGTGGCAATCCCAGCACAATTGTCGCCGCCTGTCCCAGAAGGCGGGCATGGTCTGGACCCTGTCCCAGGGGGCTGCCCTGTGGGCCCCAGCAGCCCGCACTCCCTGGGGGTCTGGCCTCGTGGCCCCTGACGCTGTGTGACTGGAATTACTAGGGCAGGAATTTCCACTTTGCAGCAGGCGCGAAGGGGGCGCCCCTTGGCCGGGCTGGGATGCAGGGCCTGTGGAGGCAGCGCCGAAAGGCCAGCGTGTCCCGGGGCGGATCTAGGGCCAGCTGCGCTTCACCTGCCCCAGCCGTACCCAGAAGCCTGCTGCTGCCCCGCACCCCAACCCCGCTGGCCTGGGATCCCTCTTTCCTGGCTTCCGGGCTGTGGAGAGGCCCCTCCGGCTGCCGTCCTGGGGAAGCCTCTGCAGGCACTGGGAGGCTCTGCGCCGGGAGGAAGGGACATTTGCCCCACGTGCGCTGCTTCCTTCTGCGTCTGGCTCGGCGTGAGCCGGGCGTCCCTGCCCTTCCCGCCGCTGCGGCCTCCGCGCAGCGCCCAGGTGAGGCGGATCTGAGTCGGGCCGCAAGCGTGGGTCCGGCCGGGGTCAGCTGAGCGTCTCCGCGCTGGCTCAGGGGCTCCCGCAGGCCTGCTCGGTCCTCGGCCCTGGGGGTCGGGCTCGGGGCTGTGCCCCAAAGCAGGTGATGGCCCCCGGCTCCTCCTGAGCCCCGGCCCGGGCCCGCCTGGCTCCCGCGGCGGCCGGCGCCTCATTCCCGCAGGGGTCCGGCCTCCCAGGCCAGGCCAGGAACAGGCGTGGTTCTCAGCGCGGGACCCTCGGAACCAGCCGCCCGCCCGCCCCACGACAGGTCTCCTGCCTCCACCGGGGAACCCCTTGCAGAGCGGGCGGGAAGGGGGAAGGTGGGCCACGGACCCGGGAGGCGCCTCTCACCTGCGCCCGCCGGACCGCGAGGAACCGGGCGCAGAGGCGGAGCCGCCGTGGGCGTGGCCGGAGGTGGGCGTGGCCGGAGGTGGGCGGGCCTGGTCATCGCCCCGCCCCGCCCCTAATCCCACCGCCCCCGCCCGGCCCCCGCCGCCTCCGGCTTCGGCTCCCCGCGGTCTCCGGGTCCACGCGTCGTCCTCCCGCGCGCCCATGGCCGGGAAGGTGCTGTCTCTGCTGCCGCCGCTGCTGCTGGCCGCCGCGGGCCTCGCCGGGCTCCTGCTGCTGTGCGTCCCCACCCGCGACGTCCGGGAGCCGCCCGCCCTCAAGGTGCGCGCCCCGGCACCCAGCGCACGTCCGGGGAGCAGCGGGCCGGGCCGGGGAGCCGCGGGCGGGAGGGCGCGGCTGGGAGCCCGAGCAGGCTCAGCCCGAGACCCCCACCGCGCTCTGCTCCTGGTGGGCTGGGTGGGGTCCCCGGTTCTGCGCTCTGCGCTCCCGGACCGGGAACGCGGGACGGCGGTGGCGCTTCCACGGGGACGAGGTGCCGGAGGACCAGGTCCCGGGAATTCCGCGCCGGCCGCCAAGCCCGTCCATGCGGCCCAGGTGCTGTGTCCCTGCTCGCAGGATGCAGCCCGGGGATGCCCCCAGATGCTGCCGGACGCCGCCCTCAGCCCTGTGCGGGCCCCCAGGGGCACCCCAGCCACTTGTACCCTGGGCCACCGCCCTGAGGGTGCGGGCTGTTCAGCCCAGGCGAGAATCAACAAGCCCTAGGACCCAGGGCCCCCTCCGGACACGAGGGTGGCCTTCACTGGAGCAGCCCTGGAGTGTCCACAAAGGGTTGGAGCAGGCTAGCCCAGATTCCCCTCTAGCAGGTCCTCCTGACGGCCACTTTAACCCTTTATTGGGCCTGTAGGGGTTAAGGTGGAGCCGAGCCCCCCAAATCCAAAGGGGTGTCAGAAGCTGAGAGCTCTGTGGCCCTCAGCCAGGTGGCAGTGGACATGCTGGCCTGTTGATGCTCTGGGCTCTGGGGAGGCTCTTGGTCTAGGTGAACTCGTGCAGCCCTCTGGAAGGCTGGAATTGGCACCCGGGCCTGGGAGGCTGGTCCCCAGCTTTCCAGGTGGATCCAGGACGCTGGGGCAGGAGCTGGAAAGGGGTGTCTACAAGCTCATGCCGCCCCGGTCTGCAGAAAGGCCCACCCAGCGCCCCCAGCAAGGCAGGACCATCTTCTCTCTCTGGCCCTGGCTTGGCGGCCTAGGGAGAGCATGTCTTCAACAGGCATGGCCTTGCTCTGACGCCCACAGCCAGCCTCAGCTTGGCCTTCTTCCCCTGGGGCCCCACTTCTCCCATCCTCAGGTTGGGCTGTGGTCAGAGGAGAAGGAAAAAGAGAGGGGAGGAAGGAGAGGGGAGGAAGGAAGAGTGGCTCCAGGGGTTCCTTCTGCAGCAGAACTTCCTCCCCTTGAAACTGGGGACCTCCTTGTGCCCCCAGGGAAAAGTCCGTGGGGGCCCTTGTCCCTGGCTCAGTGCCTCAGTCTGCCCTTGGCAGGAAGGCTGTTGCCCTGAGCCTGGCATGCCAGCTGCAGGCAGTCAGGAGGGAAGAGTCACCTGCCGCCCTGTTCTCCTTCCAGCCATGGTTGTCTTGGTCCCCTCTGAGCTTCAGCACGAGGCTTGGCACATGACTGGGGGGGGAGTGGCAATCTGGAGGCACCAAACAGTGAGGCCTTCAGAACCCCTGGACACCCCAGGCCGACTCCCTCCCCTCCCCCAGTATGGCATCGTCCTGGACGCTGGCTCTTCACACACGTCCATGTTTGTCTACAAGTGGCCGGCAGACAAGGAGAATGACACAGGCATCGTGGGCCAGCACAGCTCCTGCGACGTTCCAGGTAAGGCCCTGCACGCCCCAGCCAGGACACCCACTCACCACAGGGTCCCTGGGGCCCCCTCCAGCCTTAGCCAGTGGAGGTCCAAACACTTTGCGCCTTCTGCTTAGTGCTGGGTGGGGCTCACTCCAGGCAGAAGCCCTAGAAACTGAGAGAGCCTGGGTGCTATGCGCCTGGATCGGATAGGAGTGGTTTGCACTCTGGAAAGGAAGCTGAGGCAGCAGGTGGGAGGGTTGGGCCTTGCCTGGCCCAATATTGGCCTCTATGTCCCAGATGGAGCAGGTGGAGGTCTGGGGGCCTGGTGGGCACACCCAGGCAGGCCCCAGGAGGCCAACCTGGGTCAACTATGCCCAGGGCTTTGTTGTAACACCTGCACCCACACCCACTCAGCGGGCACAGCCTCGGTCTCTGGGTGGCACCTGGGTCCCTTTGTCTCCAAGCTGGGCGTCTCTGGGGGCTTAAGCTGGGAAGGTGTGCCACCTGGCCTAGAACCCAAGCCCCCCCACCCCCACCCTTACTCTCCTGGCCGGTGGCCCACCTAGGGACTGCCTGTGAGGCATGGGCTCATCTGTCTGCCTCTCTCTAGGTGGGGGCATCTCCAGCTATGCAGACAACCCTCCTGGGGCCGGCCAGAGTCTGGTTGAATGCCTTGAACAGGCACTTCGGGACGTGCCCAAAGACAGACATGCGGGCACACCCCTCTACCTGGGAGCCACAGCGGGTATGCGCCTACTCAAGTGAGTGTGCCTGTCCCCTGGCCTGTCCCGACAGCCCTTCCCCTTGCGGGGTGGACCCCAAGCACCCCTGCCGCAGGCTCACGGCCACCTGGGGAGGAGGCCTCTTGGAGTTCTCTGTGTTTTACAGCCTGACCAACCCAGAGGCCTCAGCCAGTGTGCTTGCGGCAGTGACGCGCATGCTGACCCAGTACCCCTTTGACTTCCGTGGTGCCCACATCCTCTCTGGCCAGGACGAGGGCGTGTTCGGCTGGGTGACTGCCAACTACCTGCTGGAGAACTTCATCAAGGTGGGCCTGGCAGCCAGCCGAAGAGCCAGGAGGCGTGGGCGCCCTTGGCGCCTGGGTGACCCCACACTCCCCTCTTCACAGTATGGCTGGGTGGGCCGGTGGTTCCGGCCACGGAAGGGGACGCTGGGGGCCATGGACCTGGGGGGTGCCTCCACCCAGATCACCTTTGAGACGACCGGTCCAGTGGAGGACAGAGCCAACGAGGTCCAGCTGCGTCTCTACGGCCAGAACTACCAAGTCTACACCCACAGTTTCCTCTGCTACGGCCGCGACCAGGTCCTCCAGAGGCTGCTGGCCAGCGCCCTCCAGGTGCCCCTCCACCCTGGCTGGCTTGCACTGCACAGTGCCCTCCTGCAGCAGAGCCTGGACAGCCGCCGAGCTGTGGAGGGCTTCTCCAGGCTGGGCTGTAACTGGCTGGAAAGTCAGTTGGGAGGGCCAGAGCCTGAGCAAAGGCCCGGTGGCCGGGCTGGATCTGGAGAAGGGAGGGCTGGGACGGCTCTCAGAGGGAGCGTGGTCGGCGGGCTGGGCTCTGTCAAGCAGGCAGTGGGCCATGGATTGCCCCTGGGCACCCAAGTGAGGCTGCCAGACTGAGACCTGGGGGAGGTTCGTCAGGCTGGTCCTCCGGAGTGGCAGCGGTGCCATCTGATCACACTGACAATCCCCCCAGACCCACGGCTTCCACCCCTGCTGGCCGAAGGGCTTCTCCACCCAAGTGCTGCTTGGGGATGTGTACCAGTCGCCCTGTACCGCGGCCCAGCAGCCCCAGGCCTTCAACAGCAGCGCCAGGGTCAGCCTGTCCGGGAGCAGTGACCCCCACCTCTGCCGAGATCTGGTTTCTGGGCTCTTCAGCTTCTCCTCCTGCCCCTTCTCCCGATGCTCTTTCAATGGGGTCTTCCAGCCTCCGGTGGCTGGAAACTTTATCGTGAGTAGGGGCAGACGGGGTGGCGGCAGGTGCCCTGAGCAGCTGGGTCCGGTCCCGGTGTGACTGTGCCGCCTTACAGGCCTTCTCTGCCTTCTTCTACACTGTGAACTTCTTGCGGACTTCGATGGGGCTGCCTGTGGCCACTCTGCAGCAGCTGGAGGCAGCCTCGGTGAATGTCTGCAACCAGACCTGGGCCCAGGTGAGCCCGCTCCCCTCCTCCAGGGCCATGAGGAAGGGCTCGGCCTCCGCATTCCTTCTCAGCCCTGCGTGCACACGCCTCTCGGAGCGCCCACTGAAGTGGGGGCGGTGGCAGGCACTACACCAACTCCAGAGGTGGTGGGGCTGTGGTCAGGAGGCTGTGAACCAGACCGTGGGCTGGAGAAGCTTCCCCAGGCCCGACCCTCATCCCAGACCTGGACGGCAGAGGGGAGGCCACTCAGTGCCCAGGTTTCTGGTTTCTGCCACTGGTCCCTCCATGGTGCCATGCAAGGGAAGATGGAAGTGGGCGCGGGGAGTGTGCCCAGTGGAGACTCCAAGAGAAACGCACCAGTCGTCCCAGGACTGGGGTGGTGAGCGAGGCCCCATCCCGTCCTCCCAGGGCCTAGTCTGAGACAGACTAGGGTCGGGAGGTGGGGAAGGGTGGTGAGCCAGCGGGCAGACTCAGGCCTGGGGTTCGTCCTGTTTCCCTGGCCACACACCCAGGTGTTGCTGCCCCTGCTCCCTGGCGGCCATCTCTCCTGTCCCCCGTCACTGGCCTTCCAGGCAGGGGCGTTGGCTGGGGAGGGATAGAAGGGTGCCCTGCGGGGTTGCCCACTGGGCCCCGTCTGGCCGCACGTGTCGGAGCCCAGGTGCCCGTCTCCAGCTGGGGAGGGTTGCAGCACTCCGGCCACCTCTGCCCGTGGGGCGGAGACCTCCTGCTCGTCGCCTGCCTGATGGCATCCCGCCCGCGCCCCAGCTGCAGGCCCGAGTGCCAGGGCAGCGGGCCCACCTGGCCGACTACTGCGCCGGGGCCATGTTCGTGCAGCAGCTGCTGAGTCGCGGCTACGGCTTCGACGAGCGCACCTTCGGCGGCGTGACCTTCCAGAAGAAGGTGGGCGGGGCGGGGCCGGGGGCGGGGCGGGGCCGGGGGCGGGGCCTCGCGGGAGCTGAGGCCACGCCCTTCGCCGCAGGCCGCGGACACGGCGGTGGGCTGGGCGCTGGGCTACATGCTGAACCTGACCAACCTGATCCCCGCCGACCCCCCGGGGCTGCGCAAGGGCACGGACTTCAGCTCCTGGGTCGTCCTCCTGCTGATCTTCGCCTCCGCGCTCCTGGCTTCGCTTGTCCTGCTGCTGCGGCAGGTGCACTCCGCTAAGCTGCCGAGCACCATTTAGCGGCCCGCGGGGGCAGCTGCCCCATCCCTCTCCTGTATCCCCACCCCGTACCCCCACCCCTCCAGCCCCTGTACCCCTCCCCCACCCCTGTACCCCCACCTCTCCACCCACCCCCACCCCTCCATTCACCCCTGTATCCTGCATTCTCCCCCTACCCCTCTATCCCCCACCCCTCCTCTTCCC